AAGTGAGTTTCAAAGACAATTAAAACATAAACTTTACAGAGGGATCAACAATATACTTTTTCTGGTGAATAGGTAGGAGACTGTGGTCCTTTATTATTAGATTTATCCAAACTTTCTCGTCTCGCTTTAGAACTTGTGGAAGATGGAATTTGAGGTACCGGCCTTGTACTAGAATTTCTCCTAGAAAAGCCAGCTTTATGATTCACACTGTCATATAAATGAGCTATAGCGTACATATTGGATTGATTTTTGAAATCATTAGACCATTGTGAGAGCAGTAACATCAAACTTTTATGAACTTTCGGATCGGTGGTCTAATATATATATGGATAAAGATAATATGAAAATCAAGATAAAGGTGATTTAAAAAAAAATTTTTTTTTTTTTTAACAGGATCGTAAAATAAATATTAATAGATACCGAAGAATTCGCCATAGATCTCAGCAGTTCAACAAATTTTGGAGTGGATATTTGAGCTTTACAAGATTATATACTAATTTAGATATTTTACAAACATTTAATAATTTAAATGTATTATATAATTTGTAATATACCTTGAAAACTTTCACCACAGTTATCAACCAATGCCTTTAAAATCTAAAAAAATTATGAATAATGTTATGGCCAATCAGATAAAACATAAAAAAAAAAAAAAAAAAATTTTTTGTAAAAATTAAAGATAGGTAATATACAGTGAGACCACGAAGCTGAGAATGTGTGTCACCATATTTAAAAACATTTCTTAAAGATTTATTAGCTTCTTTAGGTCTTTATGGAAAAAAATATTTAGCATAGATCTGTTATAAGAATTTAAGATGCCAGAAATCAAGTAGCCTACCCGGTTTCCTGCAATCTGATAACTTCACACAACTGATACATATCGGATAGATCATCTTCCTCATAACGATTCGAAGTCATGCGTTCTTGAAAAATAATTTAATATAAAATAAATACAAGCAAATTAGGGAGAAAAATTATAATAAATTTCATACCGATCCATTCAGAGACCGCAGTTCTTTTAGTTTTATTGCTGAATATATTCATATTTATAAATTCAAAAGAAAAATTAAATCTTCTATAAGATCTTAGAAAAATATTAAGATGAAAATTGATAAGATTAAAATTGACAGGTAATAATTTTTCAAAAAGAAGACACGAGAAATTTTTGGTGTGACATGAACAAGCTTAAACAGGTTGTCACACAGAAGGGTAAGTCAGAAATTAACTCAAAAAAAGATAATGTGCCAAACACGGTAACTAAATAATTCCTAAAGTTTTGATAATAATAAAATAAAATAATTCGACAACATTAATAAATACATGAATTAACGTTAAATCACGGCATTTATTAATTCAGAAAAAAAACCGGATAGAAACTAGAGATATCTATTTTCAAATTTAAGGAAGTTCATTAATAACGGTATTACATAAATAAAATCCACATGACAAGTGCATAAACATTATGTAATATAGCAGGGAATACCAAGACGAATATAGTCGAGATTGACACAGACCTTTCCAAAGTAAAAGCTTTTAAAATAAGTTTTTAGCAAATGAACATACATTATAAGTGTTATTATGTAACGATTTTAAATGAAACATCCAATTTAAGTATATGTGTAATCTTAAGTATATGTGTAATTGTTTTCAAAGACAGACCAAAAGATTTCGATTCAGAATCTAAAGAACATATTTTAACGTTAATATGCACTTAAATGATAATTTTAAAGTGGAAATCTCTTTCTTATCTTTAAAGAATAAAAGTTGCATCGCGATAATCGATTTAAAGTAAGGTTCTGCAAGTGCTTGGCATGGCTGTGTCGACATTTCGCAGTATCTTAAAGATTTAGGCAGAATATAGAACTGGTTATACAGTAATATTTCAAAAGATTTTAAGACAATTTTTGAAGGGAAATACAGAATAACTGAAGTTATAATCTAAACTATATGGTGATATATATATATTACAGTTATAGAAATGCAAAATGAAAAAATGAATTGGTAGTTCTATAATTGGCAAGATAATAAGCGACAATATCGCAGTAGTTTGTTTATTGTAACATCTAATTTATCCCACATAATATTTAAAAGGAGGTACTCATTTATTACATATATCATATAGGTATTATTCCATTTAAACGATCATTATTTTAGATAGACTGCTCACTTTTATAAAGATGTATATAAGTTTTTTACGCAAATGAATTTCTGAATGATTACAAGTTTTTTTAAAGATAATGCAATAATTGCCCAATCAATTCGATGAAAAATTTCATAGCGTTTAAAGTTCTTTATTTTTCTAAATGAAGTTGTCCTAATTACACACTCTAAAATGCAGCTTTATTAAACGTACTATAAAATCGCGGAACAACTGGCATGTGCGCGTTATTTCGAAAATTAGATCTTTTAAAAATAACACGCGCCTTACATAACATATTAGCGGATTTATAATATAGTAATCAGGCTTGAAAATTGATCCTTCATCTCGAAATAACACAAATAGGCCATATGAGCGTAAACAACGCGTATGAGCGTACTCGAAATAACGTAAACAACGCGTATAAGCGTCCTCAAAGCAGGGACCCGGAAAATTTTGGAAATAAATTTTCCCAAATTATTCCAAATTTTATGCCTAATTTTGATATTTCCAAATTTTTGCATCTTGGCCAAATTTTTCCAAAAATTTTGCCCGATTTTCATAAAACATGTGATCTGACCAATAAGAATCTGTCTTTAAATTTAGTATAAATTATCAAATTTTATGCGGTTTGTTCTTTGAACGCAATAAAGAGTTTATCAATACTCTCAATAAAGAGTTTATCAATACTCGCAATAACGAGTTTATCAAATGTCTTTCGACTAAAGGGTGCACAAAGGGGGGCAATTAGTATAAGACAGTGTTTTTTGAACATGCAAAAAAAAAAAAAAAAAAAAAAATGTCCCGTATCACTGCTAATAGTCGTGCGCAAGAGTTTCCAGAACACTTTGTTGCAGATTCCGGCAAACTTATGTGCCGCTTTTGCAACCATAGTGTTAACTTTGATAATAAATCTTATGTTACTTCACATATAAATAGTAAAACCCATAAAAAAAAGCATGAAACTTACTTAAAATCTTCAAATCAAACACGGCAAAGGTGCCTTCCGTCGTCTCTAACAGTGGCCGGCCAAAAAAAAGAAGTTATTTATGATCTTCTTACAGCATGGGTTGAGGCTGACATACCAATAGAAAAACTTGACAAAGTCCGTGGATTTTTGAACATGTACTGTAAGGAAGGTGGTACTATACCTGCATCAGATACTTTACGTCGGTTGTACTTACCAAGGGTTTTTAAAGAACATTTAGAAAATTTATACAGTATATTTAATGAAAAGCCCGTAGCAATAATCATTGATGAAACAACCGATGTTAAAGGACGTAATGTTGTTAATACGTTGTTTGCCTATCGCGGAACAACGAAGCTTGTGTCGGTTGATTTTTTAGAAGCTGTAAATTTTTCAACAATGGGTGGACTAATTTTGCGGTTGTTAACAGAGTAGAAAATTTCATTTAATTTACCAAAATTAATTGCATCCGATTCCGCTTCTTACATGAAGAAGTGCTTTTGTGAAACCTTAAATCCTGTAATGCAGCAATTAAAACATAATACTTGTCCTGCTCACATTGTAAATTTAATTGGGTAAATAATAATAACAATACTTTTTTTGAAATTATTATTTAATAATTAAAATTAATAAATTTGTTATTTTAGTGAATCGTGGTTGTCAATTTTTCACTTTGACGTTGTCAAAATTTTAATTGCAAACATTAAAAAAACATTCATGCACTCTAAAGCTCGCAAGTCTCGATACATGCGTTATCTAATGCAACATGGGTTAAATCAACAATCAAACCCGTCATTAAAATTTATGCCATTACCTGTCGCTACCCGTTGGAATACGTGGTTCCGAATGGCGTTTTATGTTTGTGACTATTTAGAATACATTAAAGGATTTTACAAGGAAGAGTTAAAACTTGAACAATCTGAAGCTGTTAAAAAAATAATGGATATTTTTAGCAACTTTGAAGAAAATGGGCGAGTGCATATTTACTTGACCTTTATTCGGCATTATGCTGAAAAGTTTATTTCTGATCTTAATTTTTTCCAGCAAGAAAATGAACCCGTAATTCCATTCGTTGAAAATAGAATTCAACAACTTGAAATTTATTTGCAAAACGGGAAATCTAGTATGGATTTTGGG